GTCTCTATTTTTCCAGTACCCATGAAAATACTCAAATCACTATGTGGATTCTTCTTTGGTCAAATCAAACTCTTTGCTAAAGCCAAATATGAGACACTGGTTTTTAACTAGCTCTCTGAACTCTAAAAATAAGTCTCTTAAAAACAATGCTCCCAATGACTCTATTATATAAGGAAGTAGTTCTTACTATCACCATTTTATTTCCAATATTAACATATAATTCAAAGAGAAATGGGCTGATTTGATGATTTTTCTCAAACATCTTTTAAAAAGAAAACTAATTCTGCTAATATAGCATCAGTGATTTTCACATTTAACTCTCCGTGATATGTACTAATTCAGATACCACATTTGAGGATGGAAGGGCAAGAGGTGCACATTCCCTCTCATCCAGGATCCAAAACAAAAGCCCTTGAAGAATGTGTCGCACAGGTCTTCTTCCCCACCCCCACAAGGTCGGTCTCTGCTGCTTCCTCTTCTGTCCAGGATGACCACTGTTTTATCTCACGGGAGTCTTCTTTGGAAGACAGTTAGAATCTGCCAGAATATGCTGTCTCTCTCAAACCCAAATTAGAAATTTGCTAAAATTATTTTTAACTGAACCCCTCTTTGTCTCCAAATAGTTTTGTAGTCATTAACACCTATTAGTGTACACTCTGACTTAATATGTTCTGACTCTGACTCATATCCTCCGGAAGATCGCTGTCACCTATTGAAAAACAACTTCATTAGGCTTATCACAACAGCTCCTTTTTCCCCTATGCTTTAGCTTTCTGATTGAAGACCACAGCCTTTCCTAATGTTCCCTTCTCCACGCTAAATATTATCGCATGAGATCAGCACTCAGCCAGATCAATGCCTGTCTGAAATGTCATTGTGAATAATCTTCATCACTGTTCTGAGGACATACCTTTAAGGATTCCCCCAACTGGATTATTTTTTTTAAAAAAAGTTACCCACTTATTAGGAAATTATATTCATCTGTTTCCTTTGACCAGCGCTCACACTTTGACTAAATAAATATTATATTGACATTAAGGCATATAAAACCACTCAATCTAAGGGGATAGATATCAAATGACTTTGCTGTGCGCCTTTACAGGTACTAATTTCAGTGAGAAAAGACTTCACTGACCACAGGGACTTTTTTGTAGTATGTTTCAGAAAGGATGACATGATGTGTGTAATCCCAAATTCAATGCACTGATGATACTCCTTGCTTACAGGTGTCTACCTCATCCCTCCTCTGCTATATGTCGTCTTAATTATGCTCAATATGCCCTGGTTCCTGTTATAGGTCCAAATAAGAGGTCTCTTTTACTTACAGAGAATTCATGCAACAGAATCTCCTTAACATTTTTCTGATGGTCTGTGGGAATCCAATTTTAGAATCTTAGGCTCCAAGCTAATGAAGAGTAAACTAGAAGTTGATTGGCACAAATGAAAGTGTTAATCCATTAATGAATGGCTATAATCATTTTTTTCTGCACCTAAAATAATTTGTTTTAGATTTCCCAGCAATTAACAAATCTTACACATAGAAGCAGATCAGAGAAAAACAGAGCAATATATTTGTTTGTAAGACAGATCAACATCACTTGAATCAAGAATCCACACTGGAGTGGAGACCTAATCTGATGGACCATTTTGAAGCCCTGAGTCTGGTTGCAAACTGCCTAATTTTGAAAAGCCACTCCCCAGTGAGGCCCAGTTTTTTGCCTTTGCCTGATGTCTAAAGCATCTCTGTTTTGTTTCAGCTGGCAGGGTTCATCTACGCCTGTTATGTTGTGAAATGTATAACTGAAGAAGAGGACAGCTGTAAGTATTAAAGCTCTATTCTGTTTCTTTCAAGTTCAAAGCATCTTCTTTACTGCCTCCTACCTAGCTTTCCTAGTCCTCAGACGAGATCCCACAACATAGCATCAGAACAGAAAATAAGCCTTTTGTGCCCATGTGGCTAAAGTGTTTTTTATAAAAGTATCCAGCATATTGGAGAATTGGAGAAGCACCCATTTTGGGAACATGCTACTTTTTTTTCGTTGAGAGACATTTTTGAAATCTATTCCTCTTATAACAATTCTAATGGAGAATATAAAGGTGACAATGGAGATGGAAGTGATTTTAAAATGTGGTTAACTTGATTGTTCTCTTTTTATAACCATTTATTAGGTATTGGTAACCAGTTTCACTCAGGACTACAAATTCTAAAAATCAACAATTTTAATGATTACTATATTTCTCATAAAAACTGACTT